AAAAACACCCGAGCGGAGAAGGGAGGCAGAGGAGCAGCCCTGCAGCTCCAGAACTTCAGGTGAGCAAAGCCACGCAGGATATTTACAGCTGAAGAAGTGACTTGAATTATTAAAATATCTCACGAGTTTTTCATATGGATAAAAATACTCAAACCATGTTTTGCACTGCATGGGGTTTTCATTTCTTTATTTAGGAGCACTTTTTTAGCACGCGCTAGAGCGCTACGTCTCTTGTTCCCCCAGTTCACGATCGGTTCATGTGTGGCTCTGACACAAGGGCTGGGGGCAAAGCTCCCCCGTGGGCAGGACACACATCAGCTGAGGTCTGTTGAACTGCCTTTAAGCAAGAAAAATGTGCAACGTCTGTCGGTGCCGCTGCGAGGGGCCAAGCACGAGTCTGCGCGGACTCGAGTCACCCACAGCGTCACTTATAGCACGTCTGGATGTTATCCCTAACATGCCAATTTGTACACGGTGATACACGCTCCTTTATTAGAGATGGCACAGATGAAACTTTAGATAAGGTCATGTACTACAGGCTGGTGTCATTACCTTCAGAGAAGGCAGCTAACGGATGCAGCAATCTGTTCTTTTCCAAAAAGAAGAAACGAAGGAAAAATAGTCTGTGGCACAGGAAGGCATATTATCATATATTTGTGCTTTTGGCAGTAGGTATTAAAAATTATCAGAATTTCTAAGCCGAAATGTAAATGAATGAGTTTCATGTTGCTCTGAAGACATGCTACTAGATCTGGAGGAGCCCAATCCCCCAGGACGTGGGGTACTCATTAATGCTGGAGCTGGAGACCAACGGTGGTGAGGGAGCAGTGCTGAGATGGGCACGAAGCTCCGAGACAGGAGGAAGTAGCTGGATAAAAGGCACAGAAGGGTGACCCACCTACACACATACACACACAAAACCTGTTTGGGGGACTTCAGCAGCAATAACGAAGCCTCCGTAAGTCTCCACCTCAGTGTCTTTGTTGGCTCCACGGAGTCTTTCTTCCCTTTCACACTTGGATTGAGGTGTCTTCATCGCTGGTTGTCCTTCCTAGGATCATTTTCACTAGCTGTCAGTGCTCTGTTCACATCCTGGCAGACAGCCAGACTACCCCTGTCCTACGCTGCATGGTACAGAGCCCATAGGCCACAGTCCTCCTGCCCGCTGCTCCTTGCAGGGCCAACGCAACCGCTTTGGGAAGCGACTCGCTCGAGTCTCGTTTGAAGAGGAGCCACCCCCAAAATCACAAATTTCTACAAACCCATTGGTTCTGACAGTGTCTTAAATGGGCACTCCTGGAGCTGCTCCCAGTGCTTAGCTGGGCAAAAATGATTCTGCTGAAGCACCCGGGTGTCAGGAGAACTCTGCAGTCCTGTGTGTACTCCAGGAATTGTGGTTGCTGCTGCGACGTTAGGGAGCTGCTACTAACAACAACTGCAAAATAATCATGCAAATTTTCCTCTTTCAGAAAAGTTACACCACTAATATCCCCAATACTGAAACACAACTCAAGTAAAGCAAGAACATGCTAAAAATTCTCCACACTGCTGCAGCCAGCTTTGATGTTTACATCGGGCAGTATCTCTTTTTCTGACATTTAGCCCATTAAAAGGCAAGACCTGACTTTGTGTCATTAAACCATTTTGCTATGAAACACTTCAGATCTAGCCAATCTGTCTATCCCATAATTCTAAGTGGCCTCCTAGAGATCCCTGGTTGATAATTTTCATCTTAAAATGATCATCTGAATATTAAAAAATATATACCATGCCTCTAAGAAAAAATAAAGAAAATTAATTGAACTATCATAAGATCTTTCCAGACTTACCAGAGCTGTAAAATTTAGTCTAAATACTGCATGCATCACTGGGTTTGCTTAGAAGATTTTCCCTAAGTACAAATAAACACAGATAAATTAAGCATGAAAATGAGACTGTTAGCTTCCCTGATCCAAGCTGCGGCACCCTTCCGAGCCTGCAAAAAAATCTATAAGCACAAACACTTATTTGTCTTATCAAACATTAAGAACTGCTGCTTTTTGTATCAGGCAAAACACAAAACGTTCCTTGGCGGGCAACCCTCCTGCCTGCTGTAGATCTAATCCAATCTACGGCCGAGTAACGATTCCTTTCACACTGGGGCATCTGTGCCTGCGAGGAGGAAGGAGGAAGGATATTTTTAGCCCCTGCGTTTGAACACAAACTGCCATGTGATGTCCTCAGTCTGGAGGCAGCCCTGGTTTACAGGAATAGTGGCTCAACTGCTGCCTGTCAGCCTGGAGCTTGATGAAGGGTCTCTTATCAACAAAAGCCCATCTGTTCCCATGGAAATGGGGAAACGGCCCAAGTTTTAGCTCTGGGAAGCCGTCACCCAGTTGCAATCCTATACCTGGTGACTCCTCCTGAACGCAGCTTTGCGACCCCGATGAACTGCTGCACACTGAGGCTCTATAGTCTCAAAACCAAGCAATTTTCTGCAACACCCAGTCACGGAACTGGAAGGAAACAAGCAGATCTGCCATCAAAAGTCAGGTTGACTCCCACGTGCAAATGTATAAGTAAGCACAGCATCCCAAACGCATATATATCCTTGGAAATTTAGCCAAATTCCTTAAAAAGGTCAAATTTTGGAGAGACAAATCCCAAGAAAGTTGCTCGGAGAGCTTTGGCAGAGCCCTGCTGTCCCCTGCACTGCCCTGGATTCAGGATCTGCGCCATGCTAACTAACCCAGAAGGCAACAACCGCTCCGGTACAACGTGGTGGCGGCCAGGGTTGTTGTCTTCCTTGAGAACGTTGCGCTGACACTGCTGCAATGATTAAAAACCCTCCCAAAGTCTCCAAAATCCAGGAAAAGCCCAGCTCAGGTCACTCGAATGCAGGAATAATAATAATAATAATAATAAATAATAATAATAATAATGCGTTTCGAATCCAGTAAACACTGCCACTGATTTTTTTATTTTTTTATTTTTTTTACCCAGAAATTATTTGCCCGGTGTGGAGCCGGGGTCGGGAGGACTCTGATGGAATTGCAAGGACTAAGAGCAGCACTGGGAAGCTTTGGGACTGTCCCATCTCACCCCTGTCCGGAGGGGTTGATCGCTCCGGAGAGCCCTGGCTCCCGCTGCGCTCCCAGGGGTGCAAACCAGCCCCGTCACCTGCTGCGTCACCCCAAAGTCACCACGGCGCGTTCAGCATAGACCCTTAGAAGCATTTTTCTTCCCCACAGCCATTGCAAATGGCATCCAAGGTTACCAAAATTCATTTTATGAGGGATTTATAAGCGAGAGGCTCTGCCTGGTTGCCTTTAATGCCCTCCCTGCTCCTCACA